GCATGAGGAGTCGGTACGGGGGCCCATGGCAGATTACGGGCCTGGCAGCAGCAATGGGAGGCCCGTAATCTGCCAGCACCCTATGACAAAAAAAAAATGGAACACACCAGCAGTGTGTGAGGAGACCTGAAAGTGGCACATGGCAGAGTGTGGCGATGGAGACAGCAGCAATGGGAGGCCATACAGGGACCCATGAGAGACTCTGGACCTGGCAGCAGCATGAGGAGGCGGTACAGGGGCCCATGGCAGATTAGGGGCCTGGCAGCAGCTATGGGAGGCCCGTAATCTGCCAGCACCCTATGACAAAAAATGGAACACACCAGCAGTGTGAGGAGACCTGAAAGTGGCACATGGCAGAGTGTGTGGCGATGGAGACAGCAGCAATGGGAGGCCGTACAGGGACCCATGAGAGACTCTGGACCTGGCAGCAGCATGAGGAGGCGGTACTACTGGGGCCCATGGCAGATTACGGGCCTGGCAGCAGCAATGGGAGGCCCGTAATCTGCCAGCACCCCCTATGACAAAAAATGGAACACACCAGCAGTGTGTGAGGAGACCTGAAAGTGGCACATGGCAGAGTGTGGCGATGGAGACAGCAGCAATGGGAGGCCGTACAGGGACCCATGAGAGACTCTGGACCTGGCAGCAGCATGAGGAGGCGGTACAGGGGCCCATGGCAGATTAGGGGCCTGGCAGCAGCTATGGGAGGCCTGTAATCTGCCAGCACCCTATGACAAAAAATGGAACACACCAGCAGTGTGAGGAGACCTGAAAGTGGCACATGGCAGAGTGTGGCGATGGAGACAGCAGCAATGGGAGGCCGTACAGGGACCCATGAGAGACTGTGGACCTGGCAGCAGCATGAGGAGGCGGTACTGGGGCCCATGGCAGATTACGGGCCTGGCAGCAGCAATGGGAGGCCCGTAATCTGCCAGCACCCTATGACAAAAAATGTAACACACTAGCAGTGTGAGGAGACCTGAAAGTGGCACATGGCAGAGAGTGTGCGATGGAGACAGCAGCAATGGGAGGCGCGGTTCAGGGACCCATGAGACACTGTGGACCTGGCAGCAGCATGAGGAGGCGGTACAGGGGCCCATGGCAGATTAAGGCCTGGCAGCAGCAATGGGAGGCCCGTAATCTGCCAGCACCCTATGACAAAATGGAACCCTGGGCTGGGGCAGGCAGAGACCGCCGTATCTTTATCACGGTTTTCCCAGGCCACCGAATGGCGACGCTGCATATGCTGACGCACAGCCTGTAGTCCCAACATGGGCCCTGGCCACGCTTGACTTTCTGGCCACATAGTCGACATACGGCTACGTTTACTTCCTCGGGCGGCTTGACGAAAAATTGCCACACCGCCGAGTAGGAAACTTTGCCCCCGCTACTCCTCACTGGCTGACTGCTACTTCCTCCGTGCACACCGGCACCACTACTGGCCGTGGTGGTAGGCTGCAGTGGAGCTGGTGCTCTACTCCGTGGCCGTTTGCCTCCACTGACACTGCTGCGACCCTGCTGCCTCCTGGGCAACCCACCGACTGTTTTGCTCGCTGCCAAGCTGCCACCCTCTTCTCCTGATGATGCGGAAGCAATAGCCTGATGACGACGAGGCTGCCAAGTGCGATCAGCCTCATCATCATCAATTAGGGTCTCCGCCTCACTACTAGCCCCCTCGGCTGCGTGTGGGTCAGGAGACAGACCTGTCTCTAGACCGGCTACCAAGCCACTCTCCTCGCCACTACTTCTTCGCCTTCAGGCTGCTGAAGAGGCGGATGTCTCCCCCCGTTCCTGACCGCCCTCTGTGTAGCTCTTCCTCACTGTACAGTGGGGCTGAGCCCACAGCATGCGATACTTCGCTTGGTGAGGGAACACCAAAGGACAGGGGCAGGTCGAGGACACGTGATTTCAGTGGGCTTGCTCCCGGGCCATGCCAACTAACGGTTGTGTCTGACGTACCCACCGACCGTTGGCTGTAGGTGTCAGAGGTGACCTGGGAAGAGGAAGACGACCGAGCCAACCAATCGATGACGGCAGGGTTGTCGGTGGAGACACGACCGCTGGATGACACCGGGAGCACTGGCCTCTGGCTGCGACTAGTGCTGCCTCGACCCCTTCCTCTGCTGCCACGTCTGCTCGCTCCTAAAACATTGCCTTCTCTGCCACTCCTCTGCATGTTGTCTGACATACTCTTTAATTAAACGATTCTGTGTCCCTGAGTAGTAACAATTCTGTGTCTGTCCCTGAGTAACAATTCTGTGTCCCTGAGTAACAATTCTGTGTCCCTCAGTAACAATTCTGTGTCCCTCAGTAACAATTCTGTGTCCCTCAGTAACAATTCTGTGTCTGTCCCTCAGTAACAATTCTGTGTCTGTCGCTGAGTAACAATTCTGTGTCCCTCAGTAACAATTCTGTGTCCCTCAGTAACAATTCTGTGTCCCTCAGTAACAATTCTGTGTCTGTCCCTGAGTAACAATTCTGTGTCTGTCCCTGAGTAACAATTCTGTGTCCCTCAGTAACAATTCTGTGTCCCTCAGTAACAATTCTGTGTCCCTGAGTAACAATTCTGTGTCCCTCAGTAACAATTCTGTGTCCCTCAGTAACAATTCTGTGTCCCTCAGTAACAATTCTGTGTCTGTCCCTGAGTAACAATTCTGTGTCTGTCCCTGAGTAACAATTCTGTGTCCCTAAGTAACGTTTCTGTGGCCCTAAGTAACGGTTCTGTGGCCCTCAGTAACAAATCTGTGTCCCTCAGTAACAATTCTGTGTCCCTCAGTAACAATTCTGTGTCCCTCAGTAACAATTCTGTGTCTGTCCCTGAGTAACAATTCTGTGTCTGTCCCTGAGTAACAATTCTGTGTCCCTCAGTAACAATTCTGTGTCCCTCAGTAACAATTCTGTGTCCCTGAGTAACAATTCTGTGTCCCTCAGTAACAATTCTGTGTCCCTCAGTAACAATTCTGTGTCCCTGAGTAACAATTCTGTGTCCCTAAGTAACGTTTCTGTGGCCCTAAGTAACGGTTCTGTGGCCCTCAGTAACAAATCTGTGTCCCTCAGTAACAATTCTGTGTCTGTGTTAGGAATGGACTGGCCAGCAATGGTGGGACTCACCTGCCTTTTGATCTGCAGTACCAGGGCTGGCCAGCGGGTGCTCCCAGCAATCAGAGACTCAACCTTTCAGCCAGCTAACACCTGGAACTGATGATGCTGGGGTATTTAAGGGATGGCCAGACCCACAGACTCTGCCTTGGTGTTGTGTTTGTCCTGGGCCCTGTATCTGTCCTGCATCCTGTTTCTGTTCCTTTGCTGACTTCTCCTGCTCTGATCCTGGCTTGTGACCCTGACCATCCCTCTGTCTGACCCTCTGTACTACGCTGCTTGCTACCTGTTCTGATCCCTGGCTTGTGACCCGGACCATCCCTCTGCCTGACCCTCTGTACTATGCTGCTTGCTATCGGCTGAACCTGGCCTGTGACCCCGACCATTCTCCGCTTGCTCCCCCTGTACCTACCTGCCCAATTGATATTGACCCGGCCTGCCTGACGACGCTTGCTTGTATATACTGTTATCTGTGGGTGGTTTGGTTTGGTTTGTTTGCACCGTATTATGTTTTAGTATTGCACTGCGTTTATGTTTGTATTGTTAGTGTTAATAAATTATATTGTTTATAACATATCTGAGGTCTGCGTTTCCCTGCTTCAGTCACACACCTCTGGTCATACCTGGGAGCCCTGACATTACACCAAGGCCAATCCTGACCAGAAGTGGCTGCACAGGGAAGCCATCTTGGCTTGTTGATGGGAAGGATGGATCTTGAGGAGGTTGAGTATTTATATCTGCTAGTGTTTGATGACAGGGAGTATGCTTATCAAACTCTGAAGGAGTATACCCGGGATGAACTGCTAGAATGTATACGGCTCGCTCATGTTCTAGTAGATCAGGGCACAGTGTTCTCTGAGGTGCAGCCATTGATTGAGGTTTGTGCAGAGTTGGTTTCATCTGGTTCCCCCGAATGCAGGGATGAATTTTTGCCACCATTTAGTGCAGACCAGGTAGAGTCCCTGGTGTGGTTATTAGAGGGATGATGTGGGTTACTTTCTGGAGCGTTATTCCACATGTTCACCACAGACACTGAGAGATTGTATAAACGCAGTGCAGTCATTGACCAGACAGGCTTTGTGTAAGCTCAGCTTTGTTCAACCCATACTGCAGACATGGACAGACTTGTTGCACCCAGCCTCAGTCAGCTTACAAAGACCCAGTCCTGCTTCTAACTCTACTCCTGTATTCCCAACAGCTCCTCCAGTTACAGCCCAGTATACTTGGCTATCTACCGCATGTCAGTACCCTGTTCCCACTCGCTGCACCTATCCTGCCTTTAACCCTGTAAAAAAGCCCTCTGTAGCAACTGCTCCCTCTCCTGTTCCATCCTCCAGTTCTTCTCTGTCTCCAGCTGCTCTCCATTCGTTTGCAGACCTGCGTTTACTTGCAGTGCTCCAGTAGTTAAAACCAGAAAAAAGCGAAAATTCTTTCCAACCAATACCATCCTGCCAGTATCCAAACCGGTGAGCCTGCCTTCCGTGGTTCAGACTGATGCCTGTACGCAGCCTGATGCCTCTACTCGGCCTGAAGCCTCTACGCGGCCTGAAGCCTCTCCTCGGCCTGAAGCCTCTCCTCGGCCTGAAGCCTCTCCTCGGCCTGAAGCCTCTACTCGGCCTGATGCCTGTACTCGGCCTGATGCCTCTACTCGGCCTGAAGCCTCTACTCTGCCTGAAGCCTCTACGCGGCCTGAAGCCTCTACGCGGCCTGAAGCCTCTACGCGGCCTGAAGCCTCTACTCGGCCTGGTGCCTGTACTCGGCCTGATGCCTCTCTTCAGCCTGAAGCCTCTACTCGGCCTGATGCCTCTACTCGGCCTGATGCCTCTACTCGGCCTGAAGCCTCTACTCGGCTAATGCCTCAGCCAGCATGATGAACTGATCCAGCCTGACGATCCTATTAGGCCAGTTGACTCTATGCCCGCTGTTGATCCAGATGATCCGGTACCTGATCCGGTGCCCGCTGTCGTGCCAATTGACTCAGAGCCCGCTGTCGTACCTGGTGACTCGGTGCCCACTGCCTTGCCAGATGATGCGGTGCCCGCTGGCAAGCCAAATGACCTGATGCCTGGTGACCTAGTGTCCGCTGTCATACCTGATGACCCGATGCCCGCTGTCGAGCCAGACAATCCGGTACCTGATGACCCGGTGCCCACTGTCGTGCCTGTTGACTCGGAGACCACTGCCTTGCCAGATGACGCGGTGCCCGCTGTCGAGCCAAATGACCTGATGCCTGGTGACCCGATGCCCGCTGTCCAGTCAGACGATCCAATGTCTGACCCAGTGCCCGCGGTCATACCAGTTGACTCGGAGCCCACTGCCTTGCCAGATGACGCGGTGCCCGCGGTCGAGCCAAATGACCTGATGCCTGGTGACCCGATGCCCGCTGTCCAGCCAGACGATTCAATGTCTGCCCCGGTGCCCGCGGTCATGCCAGTTGACTCGGAGCCCACTGCCTTGCCAGATGACGCGGTGCTCGCTGTCGAGCCAAATGACTTGATGCCTGGTGACCCGATGCCCGCTGTCCAGTCAGACGATCCAATGTCTGACCCAGTGCCCGCGGTCATACCAGTTGACTCGGAGCCCACTGCCTTGCCAGATGACACGGTGCCCGCTGTCGAGCTAAATGACCTGATGCCTGGTGACCCGATGCCCGCTGTCCAGCCAGACCATCCAATGTCTGACCCAGTGCCTGCGGTCATACCAGTTGACTCGGAGCCCACTGTCGTGCCTGGTGTCTCGGTGCCCGCTCCGCCTGGGGGCCCGAGACCTGTTGCTCCGCTTGGGGGTCCAGCGCCCGCCGCTCCGCCTGGGGATCCGGCGCCCCGCCGCCCCGCCTGGGGGCCCGAGACCTGTCGCTCCGCCTGAGGGCCCGAGACCTGTCGCTCCGCCTGGGGGTCCGGCCCCTGCCGCTCCGCTTGAGGGCCCGAGACCTGTCGCTCCATCTGGGGGTCCGGCGCCCGCCGCTCCGCCTGAGGGCCCGAGACCTGTCGCTCCATCTGGGGGTCCGGCGCCCGCCGCGCTCCGCCTGAGGGCCCGAGACCTGTCGCTCCGCCTGGGGGTCCGGCGCCTGCCGCTCCGCCTGAGGGCCCGAGACCTGTCGCTCCTACCTGGGGGTCCGGCGCCCGCCGCTCCGCCTGAGGGCCCGAGACCTGTCGCTCCATCTGGGGTCCGGCGCCTGTCGCTCCGCCTGGGGGCACGATGCCTGTCGCCCCGCCTGGGGGCACGATGCCCGTCGCCCCGCCTGGGGGCACGATGCCCGTCGCCCCGCCTGGGGGTCCCGATGCCTGTCGCCCCTCCTGGGGGCCCGAGACCTGTCGCTCCATCTGGAGGTCCGCGCCCGCCGCTCCGCCTGGGGGGGCACGATGCCTGTCGCCCCGCCTGGGGGCACGATGCCCGTCGCCCCGCCTGGGGGCACGATGCCCGTCGCCCCGCCTGGGGGCCCGATGCCCGTCGCCCCCTGGGGGCCCGGTGCCCGCCGCCCCGCCTGGGGGCCCGGTGCCCGCCGCCCCGCCTGGGGGCCCGGTGCCCGCCGCCCCGCCTGGGGGCCCGGTGCCCGCCGCCCCCGCCCGGGGGCCCGGTGCCCGTCGCCCCGCCCGGGCCCGGTGCCCGTCCGCCCCGGGGGGCCCGGTGCCCGCCGCCCCGCCCGGGGGGGCACGGTGCCTGCCGCTCCGCCCGGGGGCCCGATGCATGTCGCCCCGCCCGGGGGCCCGATGCATGTCGCCCCGCCCGGGGGCCCGGTGCCTGCTGCTCCCGCCCGGGGGCCCGGTGCCTGCTGCTCCCGCCCGGGGGCCCGGTGCCTGCTGCTTCGCCTGGTAATCCGATGTGCCTCTGCCCGGAGTCCTGCCCGATGTGCCTCTGCCCGGAGTCCTGCCCGATGTGCCTCTGCCCGGAGTCCTGCCCGATGTGCCTCTGCCCGGAGTCCTGCCCGATGTGCCTCTGCCCGGAGTCCTGCCCAATGTGCCTCTGCCCGATGTGCCTCTGCCCGGAGTCCTGCCTGATGTGCCTCTGCCTGATGTGCCTCTGCCTGGTGTGCCTCTGCCCGGTGTGCCTCTGCCCGGTGTGCCTCTGCCCGGTGTGCCTCTGCCCGGTGTGCCTCTGCCCGGTGTGCCTCTGCTCGATGTGCCTCTGCCCGGAGTCCAGCCCGGTGTGCCTCTGCCCGGAGTCCAGCCCGGTGTGCCGCTGCCCGGAGTCCTGCCCGGTGTGCCAGTCTTTGATATCCCGCCAGTTACCAGACCCGGGCGGTGGAACATTTTGCCCAGCTAGGACTGTTTGGAGCGTCCTGAGGCCGCTCCTTGGGGGGGGGGGGGGGGGTACTGTTAGGAATGGACTGGCCAGCAATGGTGGGACTCACCTGCCTTTTGATCTGCAGTACCAGGGCTGGCCAGCGGGTGCTCCCAGCAATCAGAGACTCAACCTTTCAGCCAGCTAACACCTGGAACTGATGATGCTGGGGTATTTAAGGGATGGCCAGACCCACAGACTCTGCCTTGGCGTTGTGTTTGTCCTGGGCCCTGTATCTGTCCTGCATCCTGTTTCTGTTCCTTTGCTGACTTCTCCTGCTCTGATCCTGGCTTGTGACCCTGACCATCCCTCTGTCTGACCCTCTGTACTACGCTGCTTGCTACCTGTTCTGATCCCTGGCTTGTGACCCGGACCATCCCTCTGCCTGACCCTCTGTACTATGCTGCTTGCTATCGGCTGAACCTGGCCTGTGACCCCGACCATTCTCCGCTTGCTCCCCCTGTACCTACCTGCCCAATTGATATTGACCCGGCCTGCCTGACGACGCTTGCTTGTATATACTGTTATCTGTGGGTGGTTTGGTTTGGTTTGTTTGCACCGTATTATGTTTTAGTATTGCACTGCGTTTATGTTTGTATTGTTAGTGTTAATAAATTATATTGTTTATAACATATCTGAGGTCTGCGTTTCCCTGCTTCAGTCACACACCTCTGGTCATACCTGGGAGCCCTGACAGTCTGTCCCTAAGTAACAATTCTGTGGCACTAAGTAACGTTTCTGTGGCCCTAAGTAAAGTTTCTGTGGCCCTAAGTAACGATTCTGTGGCCCTAAGTAACGTTTCTGTAGCCCTAAGTAACGTTTCTGTGGCCCTAAGTAACGTTTCTGTGGCCCTAGGTAACGGTTCTGTGTCCCTCAGTAACAATTCTGTATCCCTCAGTAACAATTCTGTGTCTGTCCCTGAGTAACAATTCTGTGTCCCTCAGTAACAATTCTGTGTCTGTCCCTGAGTAACAATTCTGTGTCCCTAAGTAACAATTCTGTGTCTGTCACTGAGTAACAATTCTGTGTCCCTAAGTAACGTTTCTGTGGCCCTAAGTAACGGTTCTGTGGCCCTCAGTAACAAATCTGTGTCCCTCAGTAACAATTCTGTGTGGGTCCTGTCCCTAAGTAACAATTCTGTGGCCCTAAGTAACATTTCTGTGGCCCTAAGTAACGTTTCTGTGGCCCTAAGTAACGATTCTGTGGCCCTAAGTAACGATTCTGTGGCCCTAAGTAACGTTTCTGTAGCCCTAAGTAACGTTTCTGTGGCCCTAAGTAACGTTTCTGTGGCCCTAAGTAACAGTTCTGTGGCCCTCAGTAACAATTCTGTGTCCCTCAGTAACAATTCTGTGTCTGTCCCTGAGTAACAATTCTGTGTCCCTAAGTAATGTTTCTGTGGCCCTAAGTAACGGTTCTGTGGCCCTCAGTAACAAATCTGTGTCCCTCAGTAAAAATTCTGTGTCTGTCCCTAAGTAACAATTCTGTGGCCCTAAGTAACGTTTCTGTGTCCCTAAGTAACGATTCTGTGGCCCTAAGTAACGATTCTGTGGCCCTAAGTAACGTTTCTGTAGCCTAAGTAACGTTTCTGTGGCCCTAAGTAACGTTTCTGTGGCCCTAAGTAACAGTTCTGTGGCCCTAAGTAACGGTTTCTGTGGCCCTCAGTAACAAATCTGTGTCCCTCAGTAACAATTCTGTGTCTGTCCCTAAGTAACAATTCTGTGGCCCTAAGTAACGTTTCTGTGGCCCTAAGTAACGTTTCTGTGGCCCTAAGTAACGATTCTGTGGTGGCCCTAAGTAACGATTCTGTGGCCCTAAGTAACGTTTCTGTGGCCCTAAGTAACGTTTCTATGGCCCTAAGTAACGTTTCTGTGGCCCTAAGTAACAGTTCTGTGTCCCTCAGTAAAAATTCTGTGTCTGTCCCTGAGTAACAATTCTGTGTCCCTAAGTAACGTTTGTGTGGCCCTAAGTAACGTTTCTGTGGCCCTAAGTAACGATTCTGTGGCCCTAAGTAACGATTCTGTGGCCCTAAGTAACGTTTCTGTAGCCCTAAGTAACTTCTGTGGCCCTAAGTAACGTTTCTGTGGCCCTAAGTAACAGTTCTGTGGCCCTCAGTAACAATTCTGTGTCCCTCTAAGTAACAATTCTGTGTCTGTCCCTGAGTAACAATTCTGTGTCCCTAAGTAACGTTTCTGTGGCCCTAAGTAACGGTTCTGTGGCCCTCAGTAACAAATCTGTGTCCCTCAGTAACAATTCTGTGTCTGTCCCTAAGTAACAATTCTGTGGCCCTAAGTAACGTTTCTGTGGCCCTAAGTAACGTTTTTCTGTGGCCCTAAGTAACGATTCTGTGTCCCTCAGTAACAATTCTGTGTCTGTCCCTAAGTAACAATTCTGTGTCTGTCCCTGAGTAACAATTCTGTGTCCCTAAGTAACGTTTGTCTGTGGCCCTAAGTAACAATTCTGTGGCCCTCAGTAACAATTCTGTGTCCCTCCCTAAGTAACAATTCTGTCTGTGGCCCTAAGTAACATTTCTGTGGCCCTAAGTAACATTTCTGTGGCCCTAAGTAACGTTTCTGTGGCCCTAAGTAACGATTCTGTGGCCCTAAGTAACGATTCTGTGGCCCTAAGTAACGTTTCTGTGGCCCTAAGTAACGATTCTGTGGCCCTAAGTAACGTTTCTGTAGCCCTAAGTAACGTTTCTGTGGCCCTAAGTAACGTTTCTGTGGCCCTAAGTAACAGTTCTGTGGCCCTCAGTAACAATTCTGTGTCCCTCAGTAACAATTCTGTGTCTGTCCCTGAGTAACAATTCTGTGTCCCTAAGTAATGTTTCTGTGGCCCTAAGTAACGGTTCTGTGGCCCTCAGTAACAAATCTGTGTCCCTCAGTAACAATTCTGTGTCTGTCCCTAAGTAACAATTCTGTGGCCCTAAGTAACGTTTCTGTGTCCCTAAGTAACGATTCTGTGGCCCTAAGTAACGATTCTGTGGCCCTAAGTAACGTTTCTGTAGCCCTAAGTAACGTTTCTGTGGCCCTAAGTAACGTTTCTGTGGCCCTAAGTAACAGTTCTGTGGCCCTAAGTAACGGTTCTGTGGCCCTCAG